CTTCTCACTGCTGCGGCCTCTCCCGTTGCGGAGCACAGGCTCCGGACGCGCAGGCTCAGAGGCCATGGCTCACGGGCCCAGCCGCTCCGCAGCAATGTGGGATCTTCCCGGACCGGGGCACGAACCCGTGTCCCCTGCAATCGGCAGGCGGACTCTCAACCACTGCGCCACCAGGGAAGCCCTAAACATATTTATAATTAATTCATAAATCCCGTTCCGGCTCCACAATTAACAGGAGCTCTCTAAAGATCACTGGAAATCACATCTAGCATACTCCTTCCAGCGGCCTCTGTCTGTTGAAGAGTCCAGCCTTCCAAGTTGCCTCACACCCCCCCTTCCATCCCTTGAGCTGCAGGGAGGGCCCAGCAGAGAGGCAGCAGCATGACGGTCAGCTTTCTGCTTGGGAGTCTGACCCCACCTGCCCAAGCTCCCATTGTGGGTATGGTGCCTGACGACGTGGACAGAGGACACCAAAGCCCGAGTCTGCTGGACTCACCTGCAGCTGGAGGCTCCGGGCCCTGTGCTTCACAGCCGAGGCATGGAGGGCACGGCCCAGGTGAACCTGTCCCAGCTGCCGTCTCCACATGCTCCACCACACCCTGTCAGAGAGCAAATCAAAGATGGGACCAGTCAGAGCAAGGCCAGCCAGAAAAGAGAAGGGCAGTGAGGGCTGGGCCTCAGACCCTGAGCTCAAGTCCCTCTCCCTAAACAGCCAAGAAATAGTTCTAGAGCTGCCAGTTAAGGGTTGGGAACGGATGGTTCCTAAGGTCAGATCCAGCCTTAGACACTACAGACACTCTCTGGAACTGAGCTTTTAAGACACTACCATTTGGGAAACCAGAGGACCACCGGGAACAATGCACAGTGGAATCAGTCCCATTATAAAGCAGCTCATTACTACACACACCTGGCTTTCAGAGTGGACTAACTCACCCTCCAATGTGTGGACAATGCTGCTGAGATGCAGTGCAAGGCAGCAGTTAAGAGCATGAGCTTTGGCATCAGAGAGATGGGTGGGTTAGCCCTAGTTCTGCTAATTATAACTTATACAGTAAGTCTCAGAAAGGTTGAGTAACTTGCCTGAGCTCATATATCTTAATCTGTGCAATAACAGTATTTCATAGTTTATGGTAAGGATTAAATGAGACACTTTACATTAAAAAATTAACACACACAGAAACTTAACACAGGGTTTTCTAGTAAGTACTCAATTAGTGTTACTTACGATTTGGTGAAAACCTGATCTCAATGTTGAACAAGTTATCAATAAATATTTATTAGGTATCAATTATTAGGTATCAATTATGTTCAATTATGTTTTGGGGTTTTTTTTAAAAATACTTATTTATTTGGCTGATTGGGTCTTAGTTGTGGTGCGCGAGCTTCTGTATAGTTGTGGCATGCGGGCTCCAGAGCATGTGGTTTTGCCCCGCAGATTGTGGAATCTTAGTTCCCCAACCAGGGATCAAACCCACGTCCCCTGCATTGGAAGGCAGATTCTTAACCACTGGACTACCAGGGAAATCCCCAAAACATTGTTTTAAGGTGGGTTTTTATGCTGGTTTTCCAGTAGCATACAGCAAAGCTGAGGTAAAATGAACGCTGCTCATCTGTAGGGCAATGGAGCACACTCACCACAAAATACTCCGCTGTCTGAACTCCAGGGCGGTGGTCTGCAACCGAAGTTTGGTCCTACGAAAAACCACGTAGATCAACCAGGACTTCCAGGCCTGTCGCATCTTTTGTCTTGCATCTAGATGGCACCAAAGAGATTTTCAAAATGGGGCTGGGGGTGATGGATCACTCTGGATTAAGACAAAAGTTCAAAAGCTCTGACATCCCTCCCTTGAATATCTAAATTTCTCCAGTCTTCTAGTGCCCTCTGCTGGAAAACTTGTGAAGCTCTACAAAATTAATAAGGATGCAGGATCTGAAGAATGGTTATATAAGTGATAACATTTACAAAACTTTTAAAGGAAAATCAGTGTACTGCACTGTTCAGAAATCTTTTATTTTAAAAGTCCTTACTTTTTTAGAGTTATATTCTGCAATATTTACACATGAAATAACATAGGAAGCAGAGAAGTGAATGTGGATATGGATATATGTGAGTCGATAATTATTGGAAGCTGGATGATGGGTACATGGAAGTTCATTATTCTACCTTTCCATTTTGTAGATATTTTTAAATTTCCATAATATAAAGTTAAAGAAGTCATGTTATAAAATTTGCTGTTTGAAACAATAATTGTAAAGTAGAATAAGCAAGACAAAAGGAAAGGATACTATATGTATCTGTTTGTATCTGTTTGAGAAACAGAATAAGAAGGACCAGTAATGATCCTGGAGGAAAAAGAATTTACTAAATATGGGAGGCACAAAAGTCCATAGGTCTCCCTTTGTGGTAAATTCCATTTTCATTATGAAAGTCATCACTGACGACATAAGTTTCTTTTCTTTTTAGAACACAAAGGAGAAAATAAAATTATGTAAAACATTTTGAGGACATTCTCCAAAATGTGGTCAGGATGACTAGAGCTATACTTTATATTTCATAGTTGTTGACAAGTCAAGTCAAAATATGAAAAAGAATTTAACATGTAGCTTCTTTGGGCCCACCTCAGACCTCATGAATCAGCACATCTCGGGCAACAAGGACTAGCATGGTGCTGTAGCTTAGAGTTTAGGCTCCTGAGTAAGATAAGCTGGGCCTGAGTACTGACCTTGTCACTGAGCTAAGTAACCTCACACGAGTTCTTCACCGGCAAAATGGTGCTTCCCTTCAAGGTATGTTTGCAAAGAGTAAACGAGATTATCGATAAAAAGAAGAAAATAAATGCAAGGAGATAAAAGAAGAGGTACTTATAATATTCGGGGAAAGAGATGAGGCTTAATCTCAGGCATTGGCCAAGAAAAGATGAGTGCAAGGGACACATCAGGGAGGCATGTTTTAAGAGAAGATAACTAAACGCTGTTACGACGAAGCCATTCGTAAGTAAGGTTTCTTGCTTAGCTAGGAAAAGTAGGAAGAGCAGGTCTAAACGGGGAGCAGTGGACAAGCTGTACTGGGGACCTGCTGAGTTTGAGGTGCCTATAGGGCATTCATGTGAAAGGGCTATGAGAAACAGCAGGCTGCATTACCATTTTGAAAGTTAGTGCCTTTTTTCCCTTAGGCTCCCCACATGGGTTTCTGGGTTCAACTCGAGGAATCAGACACTGACCAGAGCTAAACTGGCCACAAGATCACTAAGGGGCAACCTGGACAAAGAAGATCAGAAGTAAGCACTGCAATGTGACACATGGCAGCAAGACAGACAACAGTCCCAAGCGCTGTGAGAGAAACACAGCCAGAACACTGCACCAGCAGGGCAGGAACAGCCAGTTCACACAAATCATGCTTAAGTGAGTGGTAGGTGCCAAAACCATGCCATATAGAGAAAACCACAGGGATATGATCACACAGGAGTTCCTGCTCAGAGATCACACATCCTGGAAAACAGGAAAGGGAATCGAACAAGTCTTCCCTTTGACTTGGAGTTATTCTCTCTCAGAGACAATGTACTCATCCTTCACAAAAGCTTCTGAGCTTTTGTGAAGGCAAAAGTAAATCTGGGCTCTCAGTAAACTAGGAAAAGTGGGGATCTTCCTCAACTTGATAAAGAATATCTACAGAAAGCCTATAGCATACTTAATGGTGAGAAACTCAAAAGCTTTTCCACTAATCAAGTATAAGGCAAGGATGACCCCTCTCACTCCCTTTCAACATCATATTAGAAGTTCTAGCTAATGCAACAAGACAAAAGCAATAAAAGGTATACAGATTGGGAAGGAAGAAATAAAACTGTCTTTATTTGCAAATGACATGACTGTCTATGTAAAGAAGCCAAAAAGAATTGACAAAAAACTCCTGAACTAATAAGCAATTCATAGCAAGGCTGCAGGATGCAAGGTTAATATACAAAAGTCAACTGATTTCCTATATACCAGCAATGAACAAGTGGAATTTGAAATTAAAAATACACCACCATTTACAGTAGCACTCAAAAAAATGAAATATTTAGGTATAAATCTAACAAAACATATATAAAATCTGTGTGAGGAAACTACAAAACTGATGAAAGACATAAAAGAAGAACTAAATAAACGGGGAGAGAGTCCATGTTCAGGATAAGAAGACTCAATATTGTCAAGATGTCAGTTCTTCCAAACCTGATTTATAGAGTCAATGCAACCCCAACCAAAATCCCAGCAAGTTATCCTGTGGATATCACAAAATGATTATAACATTTATATGGAGGCAAAAGACCTGGAATACCCAACACAATATTAAAGAAGAAGGCTAGAGGACTGACACTACCTGAGTTGAAGAATTACTATAAAGCTACAGTAACCAAAACAGTGTGATACTGACAAAAGAAGTGACAAATAGATCAGTGGAACACAGCAGAGAGCCTGGCAACAGACCCACATAAATATAGTCAACTTATCTTTGACAAAGGAGCAAAGGAATACAATGGAGCAAAGATAGTCTTTTTAACAAATGGTATAGGAACAACTGGACATCCACATGCAAAAAAGACACAGACCTTACACCCTTCATAAAAATTACCTCAAACTGGATTACAGACCTAAATGTAAAACAAAACTATAAAACTTCTAGATGATAACATAAGAGAAAACCGAAATGACCCTGGGTATGGTGATGACTTTTTAGATACAACACCAAAGGCACCATCCATGAAAGAAAAGATTGATAAGTTGGACTTCATTAAAATTAAAAACTTCTGCTCTGCAGAAGACAATGTCAAGAGAATGAGAAGACAAGCCACAGAGTGGAAGAAAATATTTGCAAAAGACACATCTGACAAAGGATTATTATCCAAAATATACAAAGAACTCTTAAAACTCAACAAGAAAACAAACGATCCAATTAAAAATGGGCAAAAGAACTTAATCGACACCTCATCAAAGAAAATACACCCTAATGTAAACTATGGACTTTGAGTGATTATGATGTGTCAGTGTAAGTTCACCAGCTGTAACAAATGTACCACACTGATGGGGGATGCTGATGATGGGAGAGGCTATGTATGTGTTGGGGAGTGGGTGTATGGGCAATTACTACCTTCCCCTCAACTTTGCTGTGAACCTAAAACTTCTCTTAAAAAATAAAATCTTAATAAAGGAAAAATAAGACAAATAAACGGAGGCATTTTCTTTAGACGTGTATTTCCTTTTCTCACCATGATCCTCGGCTCTCAGGTACCTGTTCCTCATCTCCTGCTGCTGATGCACGTAGGTCTTCCAGGTTTGGAACATCAGGTTATACAAGTAATATCTGAGGAGCCAAAAAAGCAAATACTGTTTCTTTAAAACAAAACAACTCCTAATCCGACATACCCAGTCCATTCTGTACTTAGGAGAAATTAACAGGAACACTTCTGACACAAAAAAGCCCATCTATATCCTAAGCTAAAATTGGAGTGTCGTTCTCCACACCTTATATTATTACCAAGGAAGAAAGGTGTGAATTATCCTAGAATAACTTCACCTACAGCACCCACAAAGCTGTGGCATTTGGAATGACAGTCATATCTTAATCATCCACACCGTGTAAAACATAACCTCTCCTTTGCATTAAAACACAGTCAATGTTCTCCTTTGTCTTTTCTGTCTCAATACATACATTATACACATTAAGTCTGTCAGTCCCAAGGCTTCCCTGGTGGCGCAGTGGTTAAGAATCCACCTGCCAATGCAGGGGACACAGGTTCGAGCCCTGGTCCGGGAAGATCCCACATGCCGCAGAGCAACTAAGCCTGTGCGCCACAACTACTGAGCCTGTGCTCTAGAGCCCCCAAGCCACAACTACTGAAGCCCATGCTCTGCAACAAGAGAATCCACTGCAATGAGAATGCACACCACAAGGAAGAGCAGCCCCTCCTCGCTGCAACTAGAGAAAGCCGGGCACAGCAAAGAACTAAAAAGCAAGACTGTCAGTCCCTCCATATCTTCACTATCCCATTTCCTAAAACTTGATTTCATACTCTGCCAGCTTCTTAGAACGATTCAGCGATGTCTATATTTATGGATATCTGAAATATCCATAAATCAGAAACCCTGCCCTGAAGAGCTTAAAGACATGATTATAATGAATGAATACCATTTGAAAAAGACACAATGTATAAGACATACTAAGTTTCTACTTTAAAAAAGGTATAGGGAGGGGCTTCCCTGGTGGCGCAGTGGTTGAGAGTCCGCCTGCCGATGCAGGGGACGCGGGTTCGTGCCCCGGTCCGGGAGTATCCCGCATGCCGCGGAGCGGCTGGGCCCGTGAGCCATGGCCATTGAGCCTGCACGTCCGGAGCCTGTGCTCCGCAACGGGAGAGGCCACAACAGTGAGAGGCCCGCGTACCGCAAAAAAAAAAAAAAAAGGTATAGGGCTTCCCTGGTGGTGCAGTGGTTGAGAGTCCGCCAGCTGATGCAGGGGACACGGTTTCATGCCCCGGTCCGGGAAGATCCCACATGCCGCGGAGTGGCTAGGCCCGTAAGCCATGCCCGCTGAGCCTGTGCATCCACAGCCTGTGCTCCGCAACGGGAGAGGCCACAACAGTGAGAGGCCCGTGTACCGCAAAAATAAGATGTATAAAAATATGTATGTGATGTAATTCCCAATTTTTACTTTTTCTTCCACATCTTTGGGAATACAAATGTCAAAGATTAAGAGTTTCTTCTCTCTACTGCTAAAAAAGTAAATAAATTTTTAAAGCTTTTTCTATTTCTATTTTCTTAATGTTCTGTATTGGGCATTTATTTTCTCCCAATCAATACAGATTAAAACAACTTTATTATTTTAAAACACAGAATTAGAAATTATACAGAAGTGACAGTCAGTGAGAAAAACATATTCAAATCATTAGCATGATCATTACATAATGATTACTTGAATTAGAGGGGTATCTCTGTGTATATGTGCTCACATGCACACAGTATTGTGTGCTTGAGCTTAATTTAGGACTTTGATCTTGCTTACTCTAAAAAGAATTTGAAGAAATACAGAAAATAATCCAAAACTCTTCTTGTTGCAAGGATGGTCCAACCTCCACAAACTCAATCAATGTGATACCTCACATAATAGAATGAAAGAAAAGAATCATATGATCATCAGTATCTCAATATAATAAAGGCCACATATGATGAGCCCACAGGTAACATCATACTCAATGGAGAAAGGCTGAAAGCTTTTCCTCCAAGATCAGGAAAAGGACAAAGGTGCCCACTCTCACCACTCTTACTTAACATAGTACTGGGAGTCCTAGCCAGAGCAATTGGGAAAAAAAAAAAGAAAGAAAAGGCATTGGAATTGGAAAGGAAGAAGTAAAAGTAAAACTGTCTCTATTTCCAGATGCCATGATTTTACATACAGAAACTCCTAGAGACTCAACCAAAAAATTATTAGATCAATGAACTCAGTAAAATCACAGGATATAAAATTAACGTAAAAAACTAAGTAGCAATTCTATACAGTAACAACAAATTATCTGAAAAAGAAATAAATCAATCTCATTTACAATAGCATCAAAAATAACAAAATGCTTAGGAATAAATTTAACCAAGGAGGTGAAAGGTCTCTACTCTGAAAACTACAAGACATTAGTGAAAGAAATCAAAGAAGACAAATAAATGGAAAGGTATTCCATGTTCATGAATTGGAAAAATATTGTTAAAATGTTAGTACTACCAAAAGACATCTATAGACTCAATGCAATCCCTATCAAGATTCCAATGGCATGTTTACAAAAGTAGAAAAAACAATCCTAAAATTTATGTGGAACCACAAAAGACCCCAAATAGTCAAAGCAATCCAGAGAAAGAACAAAGCAGGAGGCATCACACTTCCTGTTTTCAAGCTATAGTATATTATGGCACTGGAATAAAAACAGACAAACAGACTAATGGAATAGAGTTGAGAGACCCAAAATTAACCCAAGTATATACCATCATCTAATATTTGCCAAGGGAGCCAAGAATATTCAATGGAAAAAAGACAGTCTCTTCAATAAATGGTGCTGGGAAAACTGGATATTCACATGTAAAACAATGAAACTAGATTCATATCTAACACCACTCATTAACTAGAAATGGATTAAAGACTTAAATGCAAGACCTGAAACCATGAAATTCCTAGAAGAAAATATAGGAAAAAAGCTCTTTCACATAAGTCTTAGCAATGATTTTTTGGATATGACACCTAAAGCACAAGCAACAAAATAAAAAATAAACAAGAAGGACTACAGCAAACCAAAAGGCGTATGCACAGCAAAAGACATAGCCAACAAAGTGACAACGACAAGCTACAAAATGGGGAAAAAAATTTGCAACCCATATAGCTGATAAGGGATTAATATCCAAAATATATGAAGAACTCATATAACCCAATAGCAAAAAAACCAAATAATCCAATTTAAAAGTGGGCAAAGGACCTAAACAGACATTTTTCCAAAGGAGATATACAAATGGCCAACAGGTACATGAAAAGATGCTCAACACTACTAGTCATTAGGAAAATATAAATCAAAATCACAATGAGATCAAAATCACCGCACACCTGTTAAAATGGCCATCATCAAAAAGACAAGATAGAATTATAATGTGCACCTAAATTTATATAATGTTATAAACCAATTTTACCTCAATTAAAAAAAGGAAGTAGGAAATTAGGTCTCCAAACAATAAGACATAAAAAAGAAAAAAAAAAAGACAAGAGAGAACAAACGCTGGTGAGGATATGGAGAAAAGGGAACCTTGTGGACTGTTGGTAGGACTGTAAATTGGTATAGCCACCAAGGAAAACAGTATGCAGGATCTTTAAAAAATTAAAAATAGAACTACCAGACAATCCAGCAATCTCACTTCTGGGAACAAAAACACTAACTTGAAAAGATATCTGCACCATCATGTTCACAGAAGCATTATTTACAATAGCCACGACAGGGAAACAACCTAAATGTCCAAAGGTGGATGAATGGGTAAAGTTGTGGTATCTATATACAATGGAATTTACTCAGTGATTAAAAAATGAGGAAACTCCATAAAAACATATACATTAAAAAAAAGAGGGGGTTTCCCTGGTGGCGCAGTGTTTGAGAGTCCGCCTGCCGATGCAGGGGACACGGGTTAGTGCCCGGGTTTGGGAGGATCCCACATGCCATGGAGCGGCTCGGCCCGTGAGCCATGGCCACTGAGCCTGCGCGTCCGAAGCCTGTGCTCTGGAACGGGAGAGACCACAAGAGTGAGAGGCCCGTGTACCGCCAAAAAAAAAAAAAAAAAAAGGAGGAAACCCTGCCATTTGCGACAACATGGATGGGCCTTGAGGACATTAGGCTAAGTGAAATATGTCAGACAGAGAAAGACAAATACTATATGATCTCACTTATATGTGGAATATTAAAACAAAACAAAACAAAAAACTCAGAAAAAGATCAGATTTGTGGTTACCAGAGGCCGCGTGGGTTGGGGGAGGTAGTCAAAAGGTACAAACTTCCAGTTATGAGACAAAGGTTCTAGGGATGTAATGTACGACATGATGACTATAGTTACCACTGCTGTATGATATATATGAAAGTTGTTAAGACAGTAAATTCTAGAAGTTCTCATTACAAGGAGAAAATTTTTTTCTTTTTTTCCCCCTTTTCTTTTTATTATATCTATATGAGATGATAAACATTAGCTAAACTTATTGTGGTAATCATTTCATAATATGTAAGTCAAACCTTTATTCTGTACACCTAAAACTCATATAGTAATTAATATGTCAATTATATCTCAATAAAACCAGAAAAAAAATTTCTATCCTTCTGACCAGAAACATGCCAACAAGTAATTATTTGATAACGTGTATCAGTAAAATTAAAGTAATGTAACATGAAATCCTACCTATAGTGACAGTCAGCTCGAACACGGAGTTTCCACTCTCGATGGGAAACCCACCACTCTTCTTTCCATTCTTCAAAGACTTTCTGCAGAATTCTTCGCTCATAGTAAAACCTAGGGCAATGAAAAAAAACCAGAGAGACATAACTGACAATGTTGGAGCTGATATCTATTCCCAAATCACCGTTTCATATGGCCATTGCTTTCTCATAGAAAAGTGTGGTTCATTATTTGATAACACCAAAATAGATTAAAAATAGACATATTCAACTTTTTCAGATCAAAACGTTAGAACTACTTAAAATAGAAATGAGACTAAAAAATTTTATACTCTAGATCTTACCAATTAAAGAAGTGAAAGTTAAAAAATCTGACTTTTCAAATACCATAAGTGAGCTGAGAATTAACATTCTCAATTTTTTTCATTCACCAGACTAAAAAATATATTTGATTAGTAAAAGATAGTAGCTATACTTCTCATTTACATACCCAGGAGATTAAAAGTTATAAAATAAGCAAATGCCTAATGGTATTCCTAGGACTTAACAGAATATATTAGTTTAACTGAAATCTGACTAGGGGAGTTATAACAAAAGCAAAAGAGAAGAGAAAATAAGAAGGGAAAATGCTATTAAGAAAGAAAGCAGCAGGCCAGTGAGACTGTGCTTATGCTAACAGGCATGGTCAAGAAGACTGGTAACTCAGGAACTCTGGCCTGTCAGTCACTCCAGATTTCTTTTCATGGTTCTGTAGGTTACTAACATGTCCTTCATCCTCACCCACTCACAGGTTTTAAAAAACTGGCTGGCAAAAATATACATAGAGAAATTCACCTCCCAATGTTTATTGCAGCACTATTTACAACAGCCAAGACATGGGACTTCCTGGTGGTCCAGTGGGTAGGGCTCCATGCTCCCAATGCAGGGGGCCTGGGTTTGATCCCTGGTTGGGGAATTAGATTCCACATGCTGCAACTAAAAGCCTGCATGCCGCAACAAAGATCCAGCATGCCGCAACTAAGACCCTTCGCAGCCTAAATAAATATTTTAAAAACAAAAAAAACAATAGCCAAGACATGTAAGTAACCTAAATGTCCAATGACAGATGAATGGATTAAGGAGGTGTGGTACATAAATATACAATGGAATATAACTCAGCCATAAAAAAGAATGAAATAATGACATTTGTAGCAACATGGATGGACCTGGAGATTACCATACTAAGTGAAGTAAGTCAGACAGAGAAAGACAAATAGCATATGATATCACTCATATGCAGAATCTAAAAAAAAAAATGATACAAATGAACTTATCTACAAACAGAAACAGACTCACAGACTTAGAGAATGAACTTATGGTTACCATGGGGGAAGGCTGGGGGAGAAGAACAGACTGGGAATTTGGGATTGACTGTTATATTTAAAATAGATAACCAGGGCTTCCCTGGTGGCGCAGTGGTTAAGAATCCGCCTGCCGGGCTTCCCTGGTGGCACAGTGGTTGACAGTCCACCTGCCGGTGCAGGGGACATGGGTTCGTGCCCTGGTCCGGGAAGATCCCACATGCCGCGGAGCGGCTGGGCCCGTGAGCCATGGCCGCTGAGCCTGCGCGTCCGGAGCCTGTGCTCCACAACAGGAGAGGCCACAACAGTGAGAGGCCTGCGTACCGCAGAAAACAAAAAAACAAACAAACAAGAGATGCCAACAAATTTTTGATGACAGAAAGCAGGCAGACGAGTGGCAACTGAATCAACAGGTGAAAGAAGGCAGAGAACTAAGTGTCGGTGGGAGGAGAGTCAAGAGGCAAGGGGCTGGTGGCATGAACCCCAGAAAGGCATGGGAACAAGAGGTATCAGGAAGCGAGGAGCCCTGGGTGGAAATGAAAACACAGGATTGTTTGGAAGCCTGTGCGTAACAAGCAGTTAGGCCCTTGGATCCCATTATTCACCTGGGCAGAGACTCAGGCTTATCTCTGGAGAGGCTGAACCTGAGGGGCACTGGACTCTCCAACACCAGGCACAGCTCAGGAGACAGTCCTAAACTGAGAGTCTACGTACCAAACAGTGAGACCCACATTCCCTCTCCTCTGCTTGCCGCCAAGCTTATAACCACTGCCCCCCGCCTCCGCCCCACTCTACCACAGAAGGAGTTTGGAGGACTCCTCTCCTCTGGGGAAAACTGATCAATCTAAGGGAAAAGGACTTCAGATACTGACAGATGGAGTTCCCCCAATGAAACTATCTGGTCTCTGCCTCAAAAGCCTAAAGGGAAACCCTCAGCTTACAAGTCCCTATGCGTACATTGAATGGGTATATAAGCTTCTAATATTAACTCTTAAATATCAGCAGACAATAAAAGGATCTCTTGACATTTGAGGAAAGACTACAACATGAGACAGTGAACAAAAGCACACAGAAAAAAGGAGCTTAGAAGGAACAGAGTAGTCAAAAACCTTAGAAATAAATCATTACATTGACCCCCCAAAAATTACGAGCCTCCAGGATGTTATTTTTTTTAAAAAAGGACTATTCAGAGAACAAAAAAGAGCTCTTGGAAATTAAAACGATGATGGCAGAAATGAAAAAGAAAAGATCCATAGATAGGTAAAACAAAAAGGTGACTAGCCTATAGGCCACAGTAAGGACTCTGGCTTTTACTGTAAGCAGGATGGGAAGCTGCCCGAGGTCTGAGCCGAAGAATGATGTGACTGGATTACTCAGACTGCCTGTGTGAAGAGACTGACTAAGGACAAGGCTGGGAGCAGGAGACCAGTGAGGAGGCTCCTGGAGTCATTCAGGGGAGACATGATGGCCTGGACCAGGGTGGTAGCAACTGTAGGTACTGAGAAGAGCTTGGAGTCTGAATCTATTTTGAAGGTTGAATCAACGTAATTTTGGCATTTGGCATTGCAATCGGGGAGTGAGGGAATAAGATACCACGGATGACTCCTAGATTTCTGACCCAAGTCCCTGGAAGGATGGGAGCTTCCTGTACTGGAGAGAGGAACACTCAGCAGGGAGGTCTATGGGGAAGGTCTAGACTTTGGTTATGAACATACTGAGTTGTGACGTCTATTGGGCGCAGAGTGGAATGTCACGTGTGTAGCAGTCCAGGAAGAGGTGTGGGCTGGGTGTGTACCTTTGGGAATCATGGGATGAGGTTGACATGGTTGGGAGGTAGACAGAGAGGCAGTGCAAGGACTGGGGGTGGGATACTTAGATGAGGAGGAACCAACCAAAGAGAGTTAGAGGGGACAAAGAGGTGGAAGGGAAACAGAGAGGATGGTGACCTTGACGCTGGGAGAAGAAAGGGCTCCTTGAAGAAGGGATGATGGGCTGTCTAATGCTTCTTGGTAAGTCAAGTGAGAGGAAATTTAAGAATTCACCATTGATTTTAGCAAATGTAGTGACCTTACAAAAGCAAAAACAATTTTGGTGGCATGATGGAATCAAAAGCCTTGTAGGATGGACTTGAGACTACAAAAAGAGGTGCTGGAGAGGTTGGGGATGGCCAGGAAATGTAGAGGGAAGCAAAGAGATAGAGAGCTAGCTGCAGAAGGAAGTAGCATCAGAGACTTTTTTTTTCAGAATAGGAAAATAATAGCATTGTATGCTGGTACAAATGATCCAGTAAAGAGGGAAAAATTGATACAGAAGAGACAGAAAAAAAACTGCTAGTGTGATGGCCTGGAGTAGGCACAAGGGGAATGCAACACAAAAGGATTTTGCCACAGATGAATACATGGCCAGTTCATTTGTCTAACAGTTGGGAAAGCAGGTCATATGGCAATAGATGCTGGCGGTCAGTAGACTGAGTGATGGTCTCTTCTGTTCTATCTTCTCAAGAAAATAGGAAGCAAAGTCTTAACTAAGAATGACGAAAAATACTGATAAATTAAATACTATAAATGGACGTGACTGTTTTATCTACTTCCCAAATTAGCCAAGTAATTTTGTTCAGATCTTCTCTTCAGAAAAAGAGGTGACTACTTCCTATTTAAGACTGCCTTACATATGGACACATACTGTATGTATTATTTTTGCCCTATCAATTCAGTGGTCATTTTGGTTCCATTTATTAATGATAAAACAACTCCAGTTTACAGAAGTTAAAACATTCTCCAGGCACATAAAGGTATTATTCTTAAGTTTCTGGTATGATATCATTCCCCTCTAACATTCCTAAAAATGAGAAATAAATAATTCAATATGGAAAAAGACCAAAAAAAAAAAAGCAAAGATCAATATGCCCAAATTTACCCAAAGTAACAAATAACCCACTTGATTTAAAAACGGATTACAAGTTGAAACTGACCACCCCATCACAAATTTCAAAGTCAATGAAAACATAGTATCAGAATTATAATTTTGGTAGATACTTAGAGAAAAAATATTCTCACTCTCTCATTTTACAACTTGAGAAACTGAGGCCTAGAGCCGTAACTTAACCCCAGATCAAACCATTATCTAGGGTCTAGGTAAGAACCAAAATTCAGGTCTCCTAAAATCCAGTCCAGTATTCTTTCCTGCCACCATTCAAGAGCAAAGAAAGGAAAAAGGGTACAATGTGAATGCTCTAACACAGTGAGGCAGACGTCAGTTGTAGATACACGACACCCACCGCCAAGCCTCTGCTTCCTCACCAGCATCCACTAGGAAGGCTGGAAAGGTTTCTCTCCCAGCCTCTTCAGAAGCTAAAGATGGCCAGTGACATAGCTCTGGCCAATGAGGCAGAAGCAGCTGAGGGTTTCTAGGAAAGTTTTGCCTTCCTGATAGAGACAGGTCCAGCTGACACCACCCTTCCTCCCCCTTCCTGTGTAAAGCTAGAACAGTCATCTTGCAAATAACTATATAGTGTCATCTCTAAGGACAAAGGGCCAGTATACTAAGGATTGTAAACTGGAAAGGATCTAAAAGTCTGAGTCTCTGATGACATCACTAAACAGCTGAACCAATACCAACCTCCAAACTGTGAGAAAAAGCAAATCCCGATTTGTTTAAGCCATCGTCAGAATTTCTCTTCCTCTGAGTCAAATGCATTTCTAACATAATCAGCATTTCCCGAGTACTTGGAATATAAATAGATATTATTTGAAAAGAGGTTTCCAGTTAAATATGAGTCAAATATGAGTTTAACAAAATCAAGCAGGAAAAGGATTTGGGAAAGAGAGTGAATGTGGCAACATAGTTTTTCAGTCTCTGAATCCCTACAAAACACACTGAGCAACCATGTAGCAAAACCAAAAACTCATGTATCTATTACAACAAAACTAGGTGACAAGGTATCCCTACAACCCCAAAATGCAAGCAGGTGAGGACAAATCACCCAGAGTCAAAAGACCACCATGGTATTAACATTTGAGCGATGAAGGTAGTATCTGAGGAACCTGAGAACAGGAGAACCTGAATCAGCCAGTAAGTAGTCACTGGAAAGTGCAGAGGCCCAAATTGAGACCAGAAGCTGAAACTGAGAGGAGTTTTGTTCTCTCCAAAACCAGGGCTCATGTAAGAGCTGAAGCTGCTGGAGCAGTCTGGCCCCAACAGTCTCAAAACCGACCTGACCTCCAAAACAGACAGGGCTTCATACTGAGGAGGAACTGCTGGGAGCAGAATAGAAACTGAGCAGGAGAAGGACAAGGAGACAAGGCAAGAGAGAGGATCAGACCAAGCGCGGTAGGGGAACAAGCCAGGATACCCCATAGAGCAAGCCGCCACATCTGTGAACACCACGAAAGAGACAGAAGAGGGAGCTCTGTGAAATTAGGAAAGCTTAACTAAACCTCACTTCACTCTAAAAGTTCAGAAAAATTAATATCATATAAAAGTAAGCAACAGAAAAGTAAATGAAGTAAAATCCTATACAAAATTACTGTAGGGCTTCCCTGGTGGCACAGTGGTTGAGAGTCCGCCTGCCGATGCAGGGCATGTGGGTTCATGCCCCGGATCCCACATGCCGCGGAGCGGCTGGGCCCGTGAGCCATGGCCGCTGAGCCTGTGTGTCCGGAGCCTGTGCTCCACGGCCGGAGAGGCCATAGCAGTGAGAGGCCCACGTACCACAAAAAAAAAAAAAAAGAAAAGAAAAGAAAAGGAGCAGAATAACAGGCCTATGGACAAAAAAATTATGCCAGAAAGATGTGCCCACAAAACAGGAAAATAAAAACAAAAACAAAATCCAAGAAAACAACCCTGTAACCTATCTCAAAATGAGCTAAGACTTTAAGAAAATAAACCCACACCCAGGCATACCATATTAAATCTTTGAATAATAAGTCTTCAAAAGAGCAACAATTAGATCAACATCTTACAAATGGAAGTCACAGGACAATGGAATATTTTCAAAATGCTGGGGGAAAAAACTGGCAATGTAGACTAATATACCCAGTGAAATATCTTTCAAAACTGAAAGTGAAATAAAAACAATTTTAGACAAAATCTGAGAGGATTCATCACAAGCAGACCTACTGTAAAGGACATGTTCAGGAACATTTAAATGACAGAAAGAAAATCATCACAGATGGAAACCTGGAGATACAGGAAGAAACAAAGAAGAACAAAAAGTGTAAACACATGAATAAATATAAATGAATACTGGCTGTGTAAAATGAGAGTAGTAATGTTCTGCAGATTTTAAAATATAAACTGAATTAAGGGAATTCCCTGGCGGTCCAGTGGTTAAGATTCGGCGCTTTCACTGCTGTGGCCTGGATTCGATCCCTGGCTGGGGAACTAAGATCCTGTAAGCTGCATGGCCCAGCCAAAAAAAAAAATTTTAATTTAAAAAAACAAAAAATAAACAATTAAAATACCTTACGATAAGGGCATATAAGTGGGGACAGTGACAGGAGAGTTAAAGTGTTCGAAGGACCCTGCCTTGTTTGGGAAGAGGGCAAAAAGAAACAATTAATATTAGACCCCAGTAAGTTAAACAAACATATTATATTTGTTACCGCAGTCAGTAAAAGAAGGATAGAAGAGTATATAATTTCTAAGCTAACAGGGAGGAAGATAAATAAAATACTCAATTGAGTAAAAAAAAGAAAAACGAGTCTTCCGATAACGGCAAACTATGTTACTCCGATCAGTTCTCCCACTGAGAACAAGAAAAGACAAAAAAAAAAATTTTTGAAGGCACGAAGAGCTACCAAGCCAGTAAAGAAGGGCAGGGCCAAGGTCCAGGGAAAGAAGGAAAAGCAGAGGTAGACTATGCCTCATCCCTGCAGCTGCGATGGGCTGTGGCCACATTGGGAGCCTCACTGGTAAAGAAACACGAAAAAGATGGGAAGAGCAAGGCCCTCCACAAGGTATACCAAGCAAAAATTTCAGAGAACACACACAGGCCAAATTTGCTTGAGAAACCTTGAATCAAGAGACCTTGATGTTCCAGATCAGGAAAGCCATACTGTCAGAAAAATGAAACAGGAAAGGGTATAGTAAGTGGAGAAGTGAAGGGTGAGAACCCATAACATTTCAGTTTTTAAAAAACACTTACATTTTCAGTGGCTGGCTGTTCTCTGAAACATTCCCTACAGTGCCCCTTCTTTCTCTCCATCCCTCTGGCTTCCTGCACAGTGTCCCTGACCCCTTGCGATCCACTTAGGGCACTGCAGCTAAAGCAATGTTAACCAAAACCCACAGCAGCAGGTGGCAGCCTAGAAAAAGTGAAGCTACCGGGCAGAGGGACTTACACTTGACTCAGTTTCATTCCTCTTGCCAATGCCAACTTTTTCCCCAGGTTCTGCCCTAGACCAAGTCAATCTGCCAGTCTCGCCAGGGACCTGAAAGAGCTCATTTACTTCTCCTGGGCAAACATTCATTCAGTCAAACTAATACGTGTTAAGTTACCATTATATGATATACCTCCTGGAGGCTGGGGAGGAGCAGGGAAGGAATGCAACACATGCCATAGTAAAGGTTATATATGGGCTTAGTACAAAACAAAATCCTAGAATGAACTCAACAGAAGTCCAGTATTCTGAACTAATACTACCTGGCTTTAGAGGGAAATACTCTTCCAAAAGTCATTCGAATCCACAAATACAAGAACTTTCTGGCCATGCATCTGAAAGAAATGACATACACATTTTAAAACTCCATTTAGTTTATATCATCAATTTTCTGGAAAGGAGAAGGAAACTTTAAGGTCCCAGGAAGTGGGATACTAGTATGAGTCAAAAGGTTAATCATATATAGATAATATTGCATCAAACAGAGCACAGGATGGGACAGATTTGTAAAGCTAACATCAAGCAGATTATTTTTTAAAAATACTTTCAGGGCTTCCCTGGTGGCGCAATGGTTGAGAGTCCGCCTGCCGATGCAGGGGACACGGGTTCGTGCCCCGGGCCGGGAAGATCCCACATGCCGCAGAGCGGCGGGCCCCGTGAGCCATGGCCGCTGGGCCTGCGCGTCCAGAGCCTGTGCTCCACAGTGGGAGAGGCCACAACAGTGAGAGGCCCGCGTACCGCAAGAAAAAAAAAAAAAACAAAGAAACTTTCAATATAAAGTATGTTGTTGATGAAGATTTCAGAGATGAGGAAAAGGAAGTACATGCTAGTGCTTTTGCTCGTATTGTTCTTCCTGCTTAAAACACCTGGCAAATGCCCACTTACCCACCAAGGCTCATCTTCAATGCTCACTCCTACATGAAGCCTTCCTGGACCTTCCCCAACCAAACAGAGCAAGTAGCTTGGTACTCTCAGACCCCGGCTCCAACCCCTAGTGTAACATTATGACACCAAATCCCAGGAAGCGGCTCGCAGGGTGCCTGTTGTTCCCTCTGCACCGTGAGCCCCTGAGAGCAGGGACCATGGCTCAACAGTATCCCCAGCTAGCACAGTGCCTGGAACACACAGAAAAAGTTGGCTTGTCTTGGCCAGTTGATCTCCAGGTTCAACTTGGAATGCTCTTCCTCCTGCCCTTTACCTGGCTTTCTTACATTATCCTTCAGGACTCGGCTAAACTCCACCTCCTCCAGGAAGTCACTGCTGGCTACGCTGGCATGGCTGTTCTTGTCAGGTGGCCTATGGCACCACATCCTCCCTTCTCACAGCACTTACCACACTTCGCTGTTGTGGCTTGTTTAACAGTCTGCCAAGCGTACCTGATTTTACGCTTTCATGAGGTCTTGGACCAGGAATGTCTTATTCACCTTGTACGCTCAGCATCTAGCATAACACCTGGCTGGGTAGGCACCTGATAAATTTTTGTTGAATGAGTAAAAGGATACCTTTCAAAGACCTAATCAAGAGTAGCAGAAAATGATCATTTTCTTGGACTATGCTTAGACTTCTTCTGGAAGACTCTTTATAGCTTATACATTGTGGGGCACAACTGGAGACCATGAATGAAAACACTCAATGACAGATTTTACATCAGCAGATTCCTAAATATTTTGAACATTCTGCCATGAAGAACAGTCAGCAAGGTCTCCAATTAACTGAGATAAGAGAATAAGAATCGTCCCCTCATTTTAACCAACAAGGGAGAACAATGGAAAAGTCACTGAGACAGGGGAGGGGACCCCTCGCAAGCTCACCTGATGCGCAGTTCTCTTAGCCGGCCCCTTCGGGTCCAGGCATATGAGGGATGATACTGTACAGGGTGCCTGGCCCTAGGTGTCTCACTCCAGATCCCAGAAAAGGCAGAAGACTTCTTTTTGGACATCATCTTTGGAGAATAAGGTTTCTTAACTGCACCATCCCTTGAAGACCTTAAATTTGAGGAGTATGGGAGAAAGGAGAGAAATTATCTCTGCATGTGATGCAAATACTTTTTAACATACAAGTGAAATTAAACAGATAAGCTCATTGAGACGGAATGATAACAACTCCCTTTCAAGGACAATAAGCAGCCCAATCTCTGACAGAAATACCCACCCTATCTGGAGGTGGGTACTGCAGGCTCAGCTCTAAGCAGGAGCTATAGAGCTGGAGGGTACCTTGGAGTCATTAGTCCTAACACACTATTTTTTAATGTGTCATTTAACGGGAATCATTTACAAATTGGAAACATTTCTTTACGTAAAAAACTAGGAATGATTTTCAGATTGTGACAACTGTAACAATACGAAACTACACACTTTTACTAAACACTAAACTTATAACTTTTAATCCCATTCCAGAAACATTAAGAGATCATCTTATTGGTATGAACTCAAGATTTTTAAAAAATGTATGTCAGAGATCTGCCTGCAGGAAATACCTAGAGGCAACAACATCCCATCAGCAATAAGCAAACCGATAGCTCAAATATTGTTTCTAAAATACCACTGCCAACTAGTATTCCAAGTAATGGGCCCTAGGAAAGCCGTCTCTAAAAAAAATAAAATAAAACAAAACCAAATAAAATAAAATACCATTGCCAACTAAGAGGAAGCAGCAGTCCTTGGAAATATAGCTGACTTTCAGGTCTGAGACAAGGAAAATACAAGATGAGCCTGGAATATCTTAATGGGTCAAAAAGTAAAGAAATGATCAAAGAATGACAGGGGCGTGTGAAAAGGACACAGGAGCCAGCTTGAAAGGGCTCCCACTGGTCAAATCTGGGAGAATTTCGGCAGTAATAGATTAAAACCCACCAAATAAAATACGAATCCACAAAATACTGATATAAGTAAATAAATACAGGAGGGAGAATGGAAAGCTCTACTTTGCAGTAGAACACAATTAATAAACTTTTAAGAACCATCACAGTAGCAACTGATTCAGACAAGAATCATCAACGGATGTAAAAACAAGTGGGTGCTAGTTTGATGAGAAACAGGCTATTAATGTAGTTTCAAAATATCTTGCCACAAGATATTCATTTCTTTATAGAAACCTGGCAGACATCATCTTAACCAAGTGATAAAAGTGAACATCGGGCTTCCCTGGTGGCACAGTGGTTAAGAATCCGCCTGCTAGTGCAGGCAACATGGGTTCGAGCTCTGGTCCGGGAAGATACCACATGCTGCTGAGCAACTAAGCCCTTGTGCCACAACTACTGAGCCTGCACTCTAGAGCCTGTCAGCCACAACTACTGAGCCCACGTGCCACAACTACTGAAGCCCGCGTGCCTAGAGCCCATGCTCCGCAACGAGAGAGGCCACCACAGTGAGAAGCCTGCGCACCACAAAGAAGAGTAGCCCCGGGATTCCCTGGTGGCTCAAGGGTTAAGAATCCACCTGCCAATGAAGTGGGCACAGGTTTGAGCCCTGGTCCAGGAAGACCCCACATGCTGCGGAGCAACTAAGCCTGTGAGCCACAACTACTGAGCCTGCGAGCCACAACTACTGAAGCCCGTGTGCCTAAAGCCCATGCTCCGCAACAAGAGAAGCCACTGCAATGAGAACGAAGACCCAACACAGCCATAAATAAATAAATAAATAAATAAATAAATAAATAAATAAATAAATAAAAGAGCAGCCCCTGCTCGCCACAACTAGAGAAAGCCCACGCACAGCAACGAAGACCCAACACAGCCCAAAATAAATTTTAAAAAAATAAAATAAAATAACATCAATGGTAATAGGACCAAATATCCTGGTAGTGAGGCACTGAGAACACAGCATCACTTCTGCGAAATTCCTGCCAAAAATGCATAACCTGAGTTCAATCTTGAAGAAACACTGAACAAACCCAAACTGAGAAATATGCATAAAAGGTAAGTGATCTGAACTCTTCAAAAATGCTTAGGTCATGGAAGATAAGGAAATACTGAGAAATAGTTCCAAATTAAAGGGGACTAAAAGTACAAAATGAACAAAAAGGGAATTTTTTCTTACATTTTTTTGTTTTCTTTTTGCTATAAATAACATTTTTGGGACAACTGGCTTCAACTTACTCTCAAACGGTCCAGGGGAGGGGGGAAATATAGATATAGTTGATTCTCATTATTTGCGGTAAGTTCTATAAAGTCCATAAACACTGAGTTAGTGAATATACTGAATCATTGTCTCTAAGGGAAAATACATGGTTAGGTTCCTGCCAGCCATCAAAAACATTCTCATCAACTAATCAATACAGAACCTTGTGGGCTTCCCTGGTGGCGCAGTGGTTGAGAGTCCGCCTGCCGATGCAGGAGACATGGGGTTCATGCCCCGGTCCGGGAAGATCCCACATGCCATGGAGCGGCTGGGCCCATGAGCCATGGTCACTGAGCCCGCGCATCCGGAGCCTGTGCTCCGCAACAGGAGAGGCCACAACAGTGAGAGGCCCGCGTACTGAAAAAAAAAACAACAACAGAACCTTGTTTTATGTGTACTTCTGTTTAAAGACACCTTATTTAATACATATAGTGAATCATTAAATTGAACTCACGGCCAACAGCCCTATAACTCATGCCTGAACAAAGCTCACCTAACATACACCTTCTTCATAAGGTACATCACAGCGTTCCTGCACTTAAGAACACTAGACAGAACTTCAGCACTACGCTTGGGGGCCACTTTAAACAGCAAAACTGTCAACAAAAAGCGCAAAACTGTCAACAAAAAGCACAAAACTGAAAACGTGGCACTACACAGACTGGGATAAGGACCCTTGCCTAAAGTAGGAGCTGAAACAAAAAGGCAGAACACTGCCTTGTTTGACCTCAGCTGGGAGCATGTGCATCAGTGAGTAAAATGTTTTGCCCCTCTGCACATGTCCACAAATGAAATGAAAGACAGACAGAGAGAGAGAGAGAAACAAACAGGGAGACAGACGAATGTGGTAAAATGTTAACAACAAGAGAATCTGGGAGAAGAAAGGTTCTTTGTCCTATTCTTGCAACTTTTCTCTAAATTTGAAATTATTTCAAAATAAAACAGTAACAAAAATTTAAAAAATAAGACTCATCCCACTCATTTTAAAATAAAAATGAAAGAGGCTCTAAAAAGTTAAGAGCCTATGAAACAGCAAATTGAGGGAAGGTGTGCTGGGACAGTGCCCTCTTGAAGCCCTGTTACATAATCAAATAGGTAGTCAGACTGGGAAGCCCATGCCTAAAAGTCATCCCTGCCCACCGCTCTCTCCTTTCATCAGACTCTGAGCTCCTCCTCACCAGCTACTGAATCAGGCAGCAGATGAATTGTTTACAGCTCTGGAAATTTAAAGACCATAAAGATACCAACATTGGTGTAAGTCAGGTGGCCCCAGAAATCTAAGTTATTTTAACACCTAAAGGAAGAGATCACAAACTGAAACCATAGATTTGTCTATGTACATATGTGCCTGTTCCCCATCAGAAGACCTCATGATGATAGGGACCATTTTTATCTGCTAATATATACTGAGCCCCTAATACACTGCCAGGCACTCACAGTAGGTAGGCATATAAAATTAGTTAAATTGGTCTTCCCTGGTGGCACAGTGGTTAAGAATCCGCCTGCCAATGCAGGGGACATGGGTTAGAGCCCTGGTTCGGGAAGATCCCACATGCCACAGAGCAACTAAGCCTGTGCGCCACAACTATTGAGCCTGCGCTCTAGAGCCCGTGAGCCATAACTACTAAGCCCGTGTACCACAACTACCTAAGCCTGCATGCCTAGAGCCCGTGCTCCACAACAAGAGAAGCCACCACAATGAGAAGCCCGCGCACCACAACAAAGAGTAGCCCCCACTCGCCGCAACTAGAGAAAGTCCGTGTGCAGCAATGAAGACCCAACGCAGCCAAAAATAAAATAAAATAAAAATACATAAATATTTAAAAAATTGTTAAATTATGGAACAGAGGAAAGGCAGAATGATGGAAAGAAATATGAAACAGAAGGCACTTCAAAAACAGTAATGGAATCCAAAAATCATGAATGGGGGAGGAGAATAAAAACATAGGAATACAATTTTTTTCTTATTGTCAACAGGAGGACTGATTAGCCAAGAAATACAGAAAAATGGAAGTGAGTAGAAAGACAGAATTTGAAAATGTTCATCCAAAAGTGACAAGGGGGAAAGACGATAACTCTAATTTGAGGGACTTCCCTTGGTGGTCCAGTGGGTAAGACTCCACGCTCCCGATGCAGGCAGCCCAGGTTCGATCCCTGGTCAGAAAACTAGATCCTGCAGGCATGCTTCAACTAAGAGTTCGCATGCCGCAACTAAGATTCCGCGTGCCGTGTCCCAGCACAACCAAAATAAATAAATTAATTTAAAAAACTAATTTGAAAAGATACATGTACCCCACTGTTCACAGCAGCACTATTTACAATAGTGAAGACATGGAAGCTACCTAAATGTCCATCGACAGATGAATGGATAGACAAGATGTGTATATTCCATATACACAATGGAATATTACTTAGCCATAAAAAAGAATGAAATAATGCCATCTGCAGCAACATGGATGGACCTAGAGATTATCACACGAAGTGAAGTAAGTCAGACAGAGAAAGACAAATTTCATATAATACACATATATGGAACCTAAAAAATGATACAAATGAACTTACAAAACAGAGACAGACTCACAGATATAGAAAACTTACAGTAACCAAGTGAAGGGGGGGAGGGATAAATTAGGAGTTTGAGATTAACAGATACACACTACTATATATAAAATAAACAATAAGGACCTGCTGTATAGCACAGGGAACTACATTCAATGTCTTGTAATATCCTACAATGGAAAAGAATCTGAAATAGATATATATCTGTATGACTGAATCACTTTGCTGTACACTTGAAACTAACACAACATTGTAAATCAACTATACTTCAATTTTTGAAAAATTAAGAAAAATCAGAATAACAAAAAAGTGCCAAGGGGAAGGCATGCACTGACCAATTCATTTAACTGTTTACTTGGCAGGTGTATCCTGTAATGTTTGTTTATTCAATCAGTATCAAGGACCTACTATAAGCCCAGCAACATAGCAAGGCCAGGGGCTACGAAGACAAATATGTATTCAATGTGTTTCTCATGTCTTACAATGAGAAAATAAGACATTGATAGCTTACAGCAAGCATAGGACACTGACACACACCCAATATCTATAAAAGACAATTTCTCAAGAGCTTACGGTGTACTGAGATGACAATGAGAATACCAATCGTTAAATGCTAAGAAAAAGGTAAATTTAGGGTGTTATGGGAACGTACACACTAGGTGGGAATAGGCTAGTCAGAAGAGGCTTCCTGGAGATCATATTAGAGTTGAGTTTGGAAATATGAGTAGAAATTAGCTGGGAGTAGGGAACTGGAAAGAGTTGGTTGGGAATACTCGGCACATGCAGTGTAGAAAGAAAGTTCATGGAGAGTCAAGGAACTCCAAGGAGTCCTATAGGACTCACAACAGGGGATCTCAGATTGCTTTACAGCAGAATACCTACGGAATTCATTCCCTTCTCAAGGCTCCCCAACCTAAACCCGCAGAGTATTTGAGGAAACAGAGCTTCATTTTAAGGCCATGGTTAATTTGCTTCAGAAGATGAAGTAAGGCAGGCCTGACGAGTACTCTGTGGATCATTGGTAAACACTGTCAGGGTGTTGATTCAGCTTTCAAGGATGGATCCCTCTTCTGTGGGATCAGCAGGGGTAGGACCTCAGCAGCTATGCTGGGAGCTCCATGACCTTCCTCCAAGTCCCACTTGATTAGAGCAGCAGGAGAAATCTGACTCAGGCTGGACAAACCAGATTAATTCTCCCAGGACTGAATTTTGAGCTGAGACACAGTCTGAACAGGAGGTGGGGGGTGAAGCACAAAGATGGCACTGCTCAGGAGGAAGGGTCCAAACACTGCTGAATAGGTCTCTCCAGCTACCTGGCTTCCACATTGTCCAAGACCTAGTCGATTCTATAAAAAACTTCTGTATGTTAGTTAGCATCCTAGGTTTCAAGCAATAGGAACCCAACTCAAATTAGCTGCTGTTAGTATAACAACAGGAGCCCTTCAGCAAAATTGATAACCTTTTAGCTAAAACCAAGAAAAAAGAGAGAAAAGACACAGATCACCAAAAGTAGGAATGGAAGAAAGGACATTATCACTGACCCTTCATAAATTAAAAGAATTATGAAGGAATACTATGAACTTTATGCCAACAAATTAGACAACTTAGAGAAAATGAACACATTCCCAGAAAAACACAAATCACAAAAACTGACTAGAGAATAAATAGAAACTCTGAATAGATCTATAACAAGAAATTGAATTAGTAACTAAAAATTTTCCTAAAAACAAAAGTCCAAATCCTGATAGCTTCACTGATGAGTTCTATCAGACATTTAAAAAATAAATGATGGGGACTTCCCTGGTGGCACAGTGGTTAAGAATCTGTGGGAGGGAGGGAGACGCAAGAGGGAAGAGATATGGGAACATATGTATATGTATAACTGATTCACTTTGTTATAAAGCAGAAACTAACACACCATTGTAAAGCAATTACACCCCAATAAAGATGTTAAAAATAAATAAATAAATAAAATAAATGATACCAGTACTCTATAAACTCTTCCAGAAACAAAAGTGGTCAGAACACTTCTAGAATCATTCTTTTAGGCCAGTATCCCACCCGGATGCCAAAAGCAGACAAAGATGTGACACACACACAAAATATAGATCAGTATCCCTTGTGGCTATAAACACAGAAATGATCAAAAAATATTAGCAAACCAAATCCAACAGACAAAAAACATATAACAAATACTATGACCAAGTTGGATTTATCCTAGGAATACAAAGCTAGTTTAACATCTGAAAATCGATTAATGTAATACACCTTACTAATAGAAAAAAGGACAAAAACCATATGATCATTTCAATAGATGCCAAATAAATATTTGACAAAACCCAACACCAGTCATGATAAAAACTCTCAAGGGTCCCAAAAGAAAACAGATGACATACTAAACACAGGATAATTTGAGGATGGCATATTAACAAAGGTATGGGTGTAGACGAACCACTAGGGAAAGTGCAGGAACCTCAAGCTGGTGAAAGCGAAGGCGGTACCACCTCTAGGCCCAAAGGGATAAAAGAGAGAATAATCACTAGAATCCAGGAGAGTCATACAAAGTCTGCTACCTTATGAGGTAATGTGGGCTTCAGCAAGGGACACAGCCAACCCAAGGCATCTTGCAACGAGGGAGCCAAGGGGATAAATAGTCTGGCCTCACTCTCCTCTCCCCCTCCTCACTATCTCCTGCCAGAGCACCTCTTTGGCCACATCCAATGGGATGCACTGGATACACGAGTGGAGATTAGATCTGGATGGTTATTTTGAAGACAGCCAGCACAAAGAGGTAATTCCCTAGCTCACGTACTTCAGAAGAATTCTGAACCAGAGCCTCAAGGACTAGAACCAGCGTCTCAAATTGTTAGCTCTTCCTGCTTCTCTCAGTGTGCTGACCTGCGTAACTCCTACAGTATAAGGTCCCCTATTGCCTATGCAGGGTGGAGACTGAAACAGCTGCCACAGCAACCCATTAGGTAGGTCTCTCTCTCTTTAATGCCTGTCTCAGCCTTAGAGGAGAACTTCTGATTGGCCCCATGCAGTCACATGCACACCCCTGAACCAATCCCTCTCAGGGGGCGGGATACTCATGAAGGGCCAGCTGCAAGTCATAGGCCCGCCACTGTGAGTCTGAGGTTTGTTAGTAAACTGCAGTCTCCTTGTAAACTCCTTCCTTTTTCCTAGACGAGCCACAGTTTGGGAGTCTCCTATTTGGAATCAAAAGAACCTTAAAGCAGGCTGAAAGCAATCATAATCAAAAGTAGGAGAAAGATATACTAGCTAGCCTCGATGTTATAACTTCTCAGGAAAATCATCCTTATTTCAGCTCAAAGTCAAAATTTCAATGACAGATATCTCCACACACTCAAAATGGATTTTGACTGTAACATAAAGTATGAAATGTGCATTATACACTATACTCTAGATGAGAAACCCAAAATACCAACAAAAAACTGTTACCCAAAATTCCTACCTCACTACGCATGATTTAGGAAAAAACTACTTTTAAAAAATTTATTATTTTCACACACAAAATATTTACAGGCTTTTATATGGGCCATAGTTTCAGTTATCTTTTTTGTCGAGTCCCATCACTCACCTGGAATCAACCTTCCTCTCCATTCTCCACTTAATCCCTTTTTGATGAAAATTCAACCAGTGGCTTGATACACACTTCTCAGTGAGCAGATTCTTCATGAATCAAAAAGTCTTTTATCTTCCTCTTCTAACTATAAGAAAAAGTAGAATGAGAGTAATTTACCTGAAGCCTCTAAGGAGCCACATTCCTCAACAGCTACACATCAGCTTCTAGTCTCCTACACCTCCTTCTTAATTCAACAATAGATGAACATGGGAAGTCACTGATTTTTTTTTTTTCTGGGCCTCACTGAGTGGCCTGCAGAATCTTGGTTCCCCGACCAGAAATTGAACCCTTGCCCTCAGCAGTGGAAGCGCGGGAGTCCTATCCACTGGACCTCCAAGGAATTCCTGGGAAGTTGCTGATTTAAAAACAAAATTTTTCATTGCATTTTTACAAGTTATTTTCTAAGAAACAAAACTGAGAGGAGAGTGAGCCATACTAAAAAGGTTATGACTGACTCATCCATCCTGTTCAGGTGATGCTCCAAGACCTTCAACTTCCCTTCCTAAGAACACCAGTAGAGGCCAAGATTTCCAATTTCCCCCCACTCCAAGATTAATATTTATGGTTGTCAATGTTATCTATAAGAATCTTCAGGCAGTTTTTGATCAGTGTACAGTTTTCATTTTCATTTAGTGATAATGTCTACCAATAATATTCATTATGAACTTAATAACATAGTTTTTATTTATTTCTTAGTACAAAGAATAGCAATGTTGTAGGTTGAATTGTGCCCCCCAGAAAGATATACTGAAGTCCTAACCCCTAGTACCTATGAATGTGACCTTGTTTGGAAACAGCTTTGCAGATGTAATTATATATAAGTTAGGATGAGGTCTTACTGGAATAGGGTGGACCCTTAATCCAATAATGATTGGTGTTTTTATAAAAAGAGGAGAAGAGACAGAGGGACAGATACACACAGAGAGGAGAATGCCATGTGAAGACACAGACACACAAGGAGAACAGCATATTATGATGAAAGCTGAAATTGGAGTAATGGGTCTACAAGCCAAGGAACACCAAGGACTGTTGGCAACACCAGAAGCTAGAGAAAGGCACAGAACAGATCCTTCCCCAGAGTATTCAGAAAGAGGATGGCCCTGCCTACATCTTGATTCCAGATTTCCAGCCTCCAGAACTATCAGACAATAAATTTGTTGTTTTAAGCCTCCCAGCGGGTTTTGTTACAGCAGCCTTTGGAAACTAACATTAAGTAGTAAAACAAAGGAGGAAAATTTAAGTATGTGGTGGAGGAAAGCTAACAAACAGGGTGGACACATCCTGTGTTGAGTAACTGTGATGCATTCATGAGACATTAATTCTAAAAGAATGAAATTACCCTTTACAATCAAGGTCACATATTTCAATGACAATCAGACAAGGAATCAGCCAGAAAAGAGAGTTTATCCATACAAAATGAATAGCCCTTATTGAGCTCAAACCTATGTCCTAGTCTTTCCGGTACTACATTCCAAGTAACAAAAGTCACAATTAGTGACTACTTCTGTAAACAAATTAAACTGAAAGATGATTCAAATAGAGATTTTTTTGGTGTGAAATACTGCTATAATAAATGGGTCACTGCCTTAGGTTTAATAATGATGCTATGGAATGTTTTCCGCAAAGACTCCTTTGACACTCTGTGCCAACATTCTAATTACTTTACATATCTGCCTTCCCTATTAGGATATAAATTTCAGGGACTTCCCTGTTGGCACAGTGGTTAAGAATCCACCTGCCAATGCAGGGGACACGGGTTCGAGCCCTGGTCCGGGAAGATACCACATGCCGCAGAACAACTAAGCCCATGTGCCACAACTACCAAGCCTGAGCCCCAGAGCCCGCAAGCCACAACTACTGAGCCCACATGCCACAACTGCCGAAGCCCACGCGCCCGGAGCCCATGCCCCACAACAGACAAGCCACTGCAATGAGAAGCCCGTGCACCACAACATAGTCCCTGCTTGCTGCAACTAGAGAAACCCCACGCGCAGCAACAAAGACCCAACGCAAACAAAAATTTAAAAAAAAATTTTTAATAAAGAATATAAATTCCATGAAAACAGGAGCCATATCTGATCTCCTCATTACTGTATTTTCAGGACCTAAAACACTGTCTGGAAACTAACAGGTGAGATACATAAATACTGGAAAGATCAGAACATAAGTTTGATCTCAGTAAGGATATGTATGAATATGAACTTATGTCTGAGTTGGAATATACATAATGATAACCAAATATAAAAGACAGCCCAAGAAAAACAAAAATCATTAGGTGTGGACTCCAAGGTAAACCTACAGACTGACCTCCTAAGATGACAGTAAAGGATAAAAGGGTATAAACCATAAGGTCCAAGAGATGGGAGAAGAGATCACAGGAAATGAAAGATTTCCACAAATTTTTGCAACAAGTAGGAAGAAAATTAACTGGCCTAACAGATTTGAAGAAGCGAAAACCTACAGTGGGATACCAAAGAGAAGCAGGCCAATAGAATTCCCGAAGCGCTCAGAACTAGAAGGAACAAGGAAAGGCGCTCAGAACTGAAACAACAGGCCACAAATGAGGGGACTGAATGTAAGTCTATTTGGTGAGCATTTGGGGCCCCTAGTCTCTTCCCCAACCCCGCTAGGTAGGGTATCCAGCTCCCTCCCCCCAGCCTCCATTCAGAATTCTGGCAGCTACACTTCTTGGCTCCCAATCAGAAGACTGGAAGAGTCTTCTCAAAAGTAGATAAGGGCTTCCCTGGTGGTGCAGTGGTTGAGAGTCCGCCTGCCGATGCAGGGGATACGGGTTCGTGCCCCGGTCTGGGAAGATCCCACATGTCGCAGAGCGGCTGGGCCCGTGAGCCATGGCCGCTGAGCCTGCGCGTCCGGAGCACAGGCTCCGCGACGGGAGAGACCACGGCGGTGAGAGGCACATGTACTGCAAAAAAAAAAAAGTAGATAAGACTTAACAGACTTTGAAATAAAGGCATCTGTGCCCCACCTCCATCAATGAAAGGCAGGCTTGCCCCTAGAGAAAAGCGCACAAACTGACAAGTCGGGCTCAGACACTGGAAGCTTCCGATTAATTTCTCAGTTGCTGACACTCAAGTATGAACGGACAGTCAAGAATCACAAGACATTTGGAAATGACCTCCAACAAAAAAGAATGAAACCAAAACATGGGATTTCCCTGGTGGTCCAATGGTTAAGATGCTCCGCTTCAAATGCAGGGGGAATGGGTTTGATCCCTGGTTGGGGAACTAAGATCCCTCATGCCACGCAGTGCAGCCAAAATTTTTTTTAAAAAAAGAAAAAAAAAGAAAAAGAAAGAATGAAACCAAAACAAAGGAATCCTGAGGAAGCACCACTACTTGTGATGTATTCCTGCCAAAAACTTGAATCTAAATATCATCAAGCGTCATCTAGAACTAAGTACCATCTTACAAAAAATAAAGGGACAAATAAAAATGACTTTAAAATCAGCAAAATCGATGATGTAGGAAACTTTACAGGACAAACAACTCAGTTCCTTCAATAAACTGCTAAGAAAAAATAGGAATACTTATACATTAAAAGAGACTTAAGATGCTTATTGGGACTTCCCTGGTGGCGCAGTGGTTAAGAATCCGCCTGCCAATGCAGGGGACAGGGGTTCGATCCCTGGTCCAAGAAGATCCCATGTGCCGCGGAGCAACTAAGCCTGCGAGCCACAACTACTGAGCCTGCGCTCTAGAGCCCGTGAGTCACAACTACTGAGCCCGCATTCCTAAAGACCATGCTCCGCAACAAGAGAAGCCACCTCTTGCTGCAACAACAGAAAAGCCCGTGTACAGCAACAAAGACCCAATGCAGCCAAAAAAATAATAATTTTAAAAAATAAAAATTAAGAAAATTATAATTAAAAAATTATTTTAAAAAGGATGCTTATCAACCAAATGTAATGCATGGACTTTGATTCTGGATCTTGATTTTAACAAACTGCAACTGTCAAACAAAAAATATGAAACAATGAGGGAAATTTAAACTTTAACTTTTTTAAACTTAATGTTTTAATGAGTTATTAAAGAATTATCATTTTTTTTGCTGTGATAGTGGTGTTGGTTCTTTTAAAAGGATACTGTGTCTTTTACAGAATATGGAGAACAATTCACAGATAAAAAATGATAAATTTAAGCACCAAAATAATTAAGGACAGTAATAAATTATAACACATTAAACAAAATGGGAATCCATGAGTCCAATCTGACAATAAAGGGATGAACAGATAGTTAGATAAATGGGGTAGAAAGGAGGGCTTATCCATACACAAAATGCCCAGAGACAAATGTGGAGGGAGTTGTAGAGTTGGATAACCCCCATCTTATGACAATCATGAAGAAAATGATTTAAAAAAAAAAAAAAAGCAAAAAAGTTAAAGTGGTAAATGTGAATAAAGGTATATGGGGGTTCTCTGTATTATTTTTGCAACTTCTCTGAAGACTGAGATTATTTCAAAATAAAAAAGCAAAAAGAATACAGTGGCAGAGATATAAATGAAAGAAGATAGGTCATAAGTTAATTTTTGAAAATGGGTGATGGGTACATACTATACACGGTTGAAATTCTTCATAATAAAATCTTTTAAAATTCTGGAGTAAACAAAGACAATATGGGAAAGAAAAGAAAAAACCACCGCCAACAAAAAAGAAAACCCTATGATTAATATCCTCAGTGAGATAAGAGAACATATTATATACACATAGAATAAAATAAGGATATTATTTAAAAGAAAACAAAAAGAGAAAAAGAAAGATATAGGAGAATCAAAACATTAGAAGGTGGCTAATAAAGCTTAAGAAATGTCCCAGAAATAGGAAGCGGGGGGGAAATGACAAAAGGAAATAAAGTTAGAAAATCAAAGGCTCAATCCAGGGGATCAGATATATAACTAGCAGGAATTCCTGACAGATATGAGAGAACGAAAGAGGAAGAAATTATCAAAGAAATAAGAAGTTTCTCAAAACTGAAAGATGTAAATCCTCAGATGAGAGGTCCTGAACCAAGGCCAAATGTCAGGGTAGATCAAACA